AATGGCTTAATAAAGTTTCTTTTTATTAAATAATTTATTATATTTTTAAATATCATTTATTTTAGATAATATTTATATAAGTTTATAATAGTTTTGCCATAATAAAACATATATACTTATATCTTAAAAAAAATTTTATTTATATAGAATATTAATATATTTATAGAATATTTTTGTCAATTTTAGAGATTAAAACACAAAAAAGTTGATATGTAAAAATATTATGGTTTCAATGTTATTTTTCAACTTAGTAATTAAATTTTGTATTAAATAAAATAAGATATAATATTTTGAAATATTGATTGTATAAAAAATCAGAATATTTGATATTCCTACAAACAGTTTAGGATTACAAATTCATTTTACTATCGGTAACGATATACGGTAAATATATTTGAGTATTTTTCAAAGAGATGGCATTACTAATTATGTGCTAAGAAAGATAATAGTTTGTATTTCTTATAAGTATTTTTACATTTCTGTGTCATATATATTTTTACATATTTTTGTTTTTTTATTTCTATTATTTAATATTGCATTAATTGTTTGTCTGAGTTATTAGTGACATTGAAAGAAATATACATAGAAAAAGAGTAGGGATTAGTAGCTTCTAATCATTAGATGGAAACTGATAACTATTCTATGTTTCATCTGTGTTTTTATCAGTATGATTCTATAAATTAATATTTAAATTATACTTCTAATCATTAATATATATTTAAAAAATACTATTTCGGAAGTTTTTAATTAATTTTTAATTAAATAATATTAACAAAGTTAAATATGAATAAGTATAAAATTAAGGTATGATAACTTTTATCACAATTGAAAGATTATATATTTCTTTAATTTATATAAATAGTTTATATTTAATAAACTATTCTATTTTTCTTTAAATCACATATAGATGTTTATATTATTATTTTTATAATTTACATTATTGCGTTTTTAAATATTTGTATTATTTATAAGAATTAAAGTTAAATTCGAATAAATAATAATTCTTAATTGTCACGTGATGAGCAAATGATTTTCTTTTTTTTTTTTAATTCAAAGGATTATTATTCAAATTCATATAATACGAATTTATAGGTCGGAATAATTGGTGGTTCAGGTTTAAATAATCCTCAAAATCAGATATTAAATTGTCAAACTATAACTACACGAGAAAAGGCTAAAAATGAATTTGGATTTCCATCTAGTGATCTTTATCACGGAAATATTAATGATGTAGATGTGATATTATTATCAAGGTATACATATATATATATATATATAAAATGGAATATTTCTTGAATTTTTAATATTTAATTGATAAATTATTATATAATATATAATATAAATTAGCAATAAAATATTCTTATATTTTAAATATTTCTTTGATCTCTAAAAAAAGTTTAAGCAGAAAAATTTTATAAAAATAAATTCTATAGACATGGACCAGATCATAAGATAAGTCCTACTGCAGTAAATTATCGTGCTAATATTGAAGCTTTACGCTTAGCTGGATGTACTCATATAATTGCATCAACAGCATGTGGCTCCTTACAAGATTTTATTTGTAAAGGACTATTAGTTGTTCCAGATAGCTTTTTAGATAGGACGATAAAAAGAAGTACAACTTTTTATGATGGTTCTTCACCTAAATATTCTGGTAAATTATATTTAAACAATCACAATATGATATAAATTTATATATTTTATATATAAATATTATATTAAAAAATATTTTTAATTATATTAAAAAATAATATATTAAAATTTTAGGAGTATGCCATATGCCAATGGAACCAGCTTTTGATCCAACTACATCTCAAATATTATTTGAAGTTGGCAAAGAATTAGGATATAAAATAAGGAAAGGAGGAACAATTGTGACAATAGAAGGACCAAGATTTTCTTCAAAAGCTGAAAGTAATGCATTGCGTATGTGGGGTGGGCATTTAGTTAATATGACAACATGTCCAGAGGTGCATTTATTTTCAAATTTAAAAATTATGAAAATAGCATGCGTATATATATATATATATATATACATATATATATAATTATAATATAATATAATATTATTATTATAATATATCTAATA